AAAAAAAGTATGCTAAAGCAACAGTTAAAAGGAGATAAAAAGAACATGATAGGAAAATCAGAGGGGGTTTTTAGTTTCGGGATTGTTGTAGATTAAACAACTAAATAGCTATAATATGGTTATAATTTTTTTTGAGAAAAACGACCTTTTTTAAGAATAATTCTCTTCAAAACGGTATCAAAATCTTTTTTTTTTTTTTTTTTCAAAAAAAAATAAATAACATCTTCGATTTTCATGTCGTAAAGTACTGAAAAATTAATATCGCATCAGTATGCTGCAAACAGCGTAAGCAAGACACGGCACGTCAGCATGAAAAATGTAGCCCTTTAGAACGAAATAAAGTTCCCTTGCACTTTAACAATAAAGACGTTTCGATTCTAAGACGACAACGTAAACGAGAACGAGATTTTCTCAGTTCTACACGTGAACCAGCGTCATTTTGGCGGGAAAACGCAATACCCGTCGTCATTCTACAACCGGCCGCAGCATAGTTCGCAATGATTGTATCTACGGACCCATTGTTAGTCTTAAATAACGTCATGTTTCATTTCCAAATCGAGGGGTACACCAAAATAAACAGGAACTTATAATATTCTAAGTTATCGGATAAAGAAGATATCAATATTCATTATTCATCATCAATGACTGAAACAATCCAATTAAGGTAAACAAAAAACTCGCCAGAACACGAACTAAAAATCAACAGAAGGGAAGAAAAGGCCCTTCTTAAATGCACGTGGGTCGAAATTGTTCCTCACAACGACCAAGTCGAGAGGAAGAGGGTCTACAGGTCTACAGGTAATTGAAATCTTTCTTTTCGCGCCTTAATTCCCTGGTTCGATTTACTTTTGCCCGTAAAGGAAATTTCAACTGTGAATACTGAAAGAAATTATAAGGTTTCATAATTGTCTCACTTACACGGTAATGCAGTTGAAAACGGGAACAATCATGAAGATTTCAGCAAGCAGCGACAAATCAAGTACTCGACTCGGTTATCAAAGAAATTAGAACAGAATATCTCCGAATAGGAAAAATAAGTATTTAATATTTAAGAATCATTTGGCACATAATTTATTGCTGCTAAAATAACGCATAAGAAGCTAGAGAAATTCATTGCAAACATCGCCACTAAAAGAAAATTTCAAGCTGATATGAAATTTCGGGACTCTTTCAGTTTTAATTTGACCGGGCCCGGCGAGGCCTTTTTAGCATGACTGGGAGAACTTCAAAAACGACTTTGGTAAGACTGGAGGGCGAAAAGTGGTAATATTTGTTTGACATTCACGTGATGTTTCTAACCATTTTACTTTCTACTTTGCCACCAGAAAATCCTTTAAAAAAAGACGACACTATGAGTACGCCGTGTAAAGTTTCTCTGGCTTTGTTATCTTTATTTGCTGCTGCGTCATTCTCATCCTTCATAGCCATGGCGGCCAATAAAACCAAACAACCTCCGAGCAATATGGTGAGTCAGTTATAGATAGATTTTTGCATAACACCATGCCTATTAAAACTTAAACAAATAATAACGACCAAATTGAACAACAGAGCCCTACATTTATCACAATCCAACAACAATTTCTCTACACTGGATCGAGGTACAGTTAAAACAATACATCGCATCTTTTCAAAGTCAAGTGAAAATCTTGTTTCGATTGCAAAGTTTATGTAGGCAGAAAACAGTGTTACAAAACAGCCAAACTCAAATTGCGAGAACGTATACTTTAACTTAACCAAGCAACAGCTCGCTAGTTAATAAAACTCAGAAACACTAGGGAAAAATAGTTCAGGAAACTTTCCGTAGAACTAAAAAGAGAGCTAAATAGAGTAGGAAAAAGGAAATTTAAATACAAAAAGGAGTAGAAAACGAGATATAAAAAGCAAGCAACCATTCCGGTTTTGACTATTTTCTTTTTTTATGGACTGACTTAACATGTAAAGAACGCAACATATTCGTCGGATATTTTTTGAGCTTTTTTTTTTTTTTTTTTTTGAAAGATTAGTGAGAGGAAAGAAGGTTGTTGTATTTAAGATTACTGATGTGAGTTAGGAGTGGACGTACAGGAACACTGACATTTTTATTCTCGCGAATGGCTTTTAGTATCAGCGATGGGAATTAGCATTTTGAGACGAAAAACTAGATTACAGTGCGAGATAATTGCAGAGATAAAATAACAGTTTTATGACTGTTTGTTTCTTTGATACTCTAGCAATCTCCTCCATTCTGGTGCGGTGGGATTCCCGGCATGCATGGCAAGCCCGGCTCTCCTGGATTACCAGGCCGTGATGGACGTGATGGCCGTGAAGGAACCAAAGGTGACCAAGGAAGTCCAGGAAAGATTGGGCCCAAGGGACCTCCCGGAGTAATGGGTCCTGCTGGTGTAAATGGAAAAGATGGTGCTAAAGGAGAGCTTGGTGTACGGGGCCCACCAGGTCCAAAAGGAGAGCGTGGACAAAGTGGACATCCTGGGAACCCAGGTCTGATGCCTTTTAAAAACTGGAAAGAGTGCGCTTGGAAAGATTTAAACGATGGCAAAGATAACGGTTTAATAAAGGTAAATGACAAAATAGTATTTCATTCTATGGAATCCAAGCTACTTCCCGTCGTTCCTTTTGCTGATTAGTTTTTATGGTTTCTCCATTCCACGTAGGACTGTTTGTTCACCAAGAACTTCTCTGATACAGCTCTTCACGTTGCCTGGACAGGTGCCCTTAGAAACCACAAGTGTACATCCTGTTGTAAACGCTGGTATTTTACTTTCAACGGCGCAGAATGTTCAGCTCCCTTACCCATTGACGGTGTGGTGTACATNGAAAGATTAGTGAGAGGAAAGAAGGTTGTTGTATTTAAGATTACTGATGTGAGTTAGGAGTGGACGTACAGGAACACTGACATTTTTATTCTCGCGAATGGCTTTTAGTATCAGCGATGGGAATTAGCATTTTGAGACGAAAAACTAGATTACAGTGCGAGATAATTGCAGAGATAAAATAACAGTTTTATGACTGTTTGTTTCTTTGATACTCTAGCAATCTCCTCCATTCTGGTGCGGTGGGATTCCCGGCATGCATGGCAAGCCCGGCTCTCCTGGATTACCAGGCCGTGATGGACGTGATGGCCGTGAAGGAACCAAAGGTGACCAAGGAAGTCCAGGAAAGATTGGGCCCAAGGGACCTCCCGGAGTAATGGGTCCTGCTGGTGTAAATGGAAAAGATGGTGCTAAAGGAGAGCTTGGTGTACGGGGCCCACCAGGTCCAAAAGGAGAGCGTGGACAAAGTGGACATCCTGGGAACCCAGGTCTGATGCCTTTTAAAAACTGGAAAGAGTGCGCTTGGAAAGATTTAAACGATGGCAAAGATAACGGTTTAATAAAGGTAAATGACAAAATAGTATTTCATTCTATGGAATCCAAGCTACTTCCCGTCGTTCCTTTTGCTGATTAGTTTTTATGGTTTCTCCATTCCACGTAGGACTGTTTGTTCACCAAGAACTTCTCTGATACAGCTCTTCACGTTGCCTGGACAGGTGCCCTTAGAAACCACAAGTGTACATCCTGTTGTAAACGCTGGTATTTTACTTTCAACGGCGCAGAATGTTCAGCTCCCTTACCCATTGACGGTGTGGTGTACATGTGGCAAGGAAACACTCAGGATCTTCACCGCGTTCGCCATATTGAGGGGCACTGCGACAACATTCACAAAGGAAGGGTGCGCGTGGGATTCTGGGTTGGTAATTGTCGTGGTGGATCACCTGGTGACGCCTACACGGGGTGGCAGTCTGTGTCCCGGATCTTCATTGAAGAAGTTCCCAAGGCTCAGGCCTAGATGCCGAGGCAAAACGTTCCTGCCATAAAAAACTTTTAAAAGTTCTTTAATCAATAAGAGGGTGCATGCAGTTTTATAGGTTACTAGCAGATGGATCATTTAATCGTGATAGTATAAGTAATCATGTAAACATAATTTATTAAAAAATGCAGGATGCTTTCAAACATTGTGTTTGTGCTGATCCCTTATTGCATGCTCGTTTTCTACGGATTAAAACACATTGCTTTCATTTTCGACTTTCCAATGACCATTATTAAATTCTCCCTAATTAGAGCTGGAAGAAGTTAAAATCGTCTTGATTTATTATGAAATTGCAACTCCGTTGCTACTGCATTTAGCAGGGTCCTAAAAGGGATTTTCCTCTTAGAATCTTTTAAATACGAACTTAAAGGTGTCCTCAGTTGAATTTATCGGGCTGCATGTAGGTTGCAAAAAAGATAGTCATCGTAGCTTTCAAGATTTATCGTTACCAGAAGAAAACGGTGTTCCCAAAAATAGTCTCTTAGGGTAGCCTGTGCTATAAAAGGTGTGAATGGTACTTCCTCGTGGCGCGTGCAACTTCTTCATCATACCAATGAGCTCGGTTGGAGTGGAATCATTACTGCTACCTTGCTGTTGTAACCTGCTCAAAATTTGTTATGATTTTGTTCGTTATTAATGTAGGAATTGCAAAACAGCGTGAAACACCTTGTAAATATCGCTATCTAAGCTTTATTATTATTATCATTATCATTCATCATTATCATTATCATTATCATTATCATTTATCATTATCATCATCATCATCATCATCATCATCATCATCATCATCATTATCATTGTCATTTATCATCATCATCATCATTATCATTATCATTTATCATTATCATCATCATCATCATCATCATCATTATCATTATCATTATCATTATCATTATCATTATCATTTATCATTATCATTATCATTATCATTATCATTTATCATTATCATTATCATTATCATTATCATTATCATTATCATTATCATTTATCATTATCATTATCATTTATCATTATCATTATCATTATCATTATCATTATCATTATCATTTATCATTATCATTATCATTATCATTATCATTATCATTATCATTATTATAACGGAGCTCCTTGCGCGCGCGAAGCGCGCGCGAGCGGAGCACCATAACTAAGATAAACTACCCATCCGAGAAATTTTGGTTATGACGTCAGCGTACGTCCGTCCGTACGGACTTTCCGGGTAGTGGAAAGTAGTCCGCATGGACTCTTGGGGTAGGGGAAAGTAGAGATTTTTTGGCGGGAAATCGCATGGCGCAACGTCGCGCAATTATATCGCGCAACTGGTTTTGAAAAAAGAAATTTCAAAGCAACTTAGCAAAAAGATTTTTCAACAGAGCCTTTATAACTTTTTATTACAACTTACGAAAGCTATTATGTCAACAAACAACAGCAGAGAGATTTTAGCGTGTAGATGACAGGTTTTAAGCTGAGAGCAAAGAGAAGGTGAACGGCAGAGAGCAAGAGTCAACACGCGTAGAACAAGCGAAGACGATCGCCAAAGAGAGCGCGTTAGAAGTAGAAGAAGACAACATTTTAGCGAAGAAAGTCGGCAAGTAGAAAGAGTCAGAGCGAGAAGAAGGAGAGAAAATTATAGTGAAAAACGCCGGCAAGCAGAACGAGACAGAGCTAGAATGAACAGACAAAGGCAACGCGAAAGAGAAATACAAAGGCAAAGAGAACGGCAGCAACATAATGACATGATGACAGAAAGTGTTGTGTTAATGTCACTATGGCCCCGCGTTATTAACATTTTGATTTCAAACTGATCTCGGACGCGAAAATTCAGCCAATCATTTAAAAATACAAGCAGGGAAGACAGAGGCTTTTCACTTTTCTCACCATAGTCACGCGTTGATCACGCTCTACGACCGTCCAATTTTTATGCTCTGATTGGTCAAAATTTGACAGGTGAGTTCATGCAGAAAATTTATACAGCATCTTGAACCTTGTTTACTTTGACAGCTGAAGCTGACAGAGTATTTTGTCAACTTGTGATGTTTTTTGCTGTCTTTTCCCACTGGATGCTTAAAATGAAATACAGCTGCTATCAACAGTCTTCTTTGATTCATGGCTGGTTTGTTTATTGAATTTTTGGTTGGGAAATGCGCCGGTTGTCAAAGTTGGAAATCCGATTTCGGATGCATCGTTTTCGTTTTTCACCTTGCTGGATGCGGGGTTGAAAAGTCCCTCAAGCGATTATGGCCTTACTTGATAGCTTTCAAGAGCTGCATCTCGAATGGTAAGCCTGAGTAATTATTGTATACAGTGTATGTTTGTTTTTTTATATCTAATTTCATGAAGTCGAGCGCAGTTTATGAGGCTAATTTATGCACGTTTGTATTAAGATCTGAGACAATGATCTGATCTAGTATATATAAGCTTACAGAGCTTTAAAAAGCCTTTAGTCGATATTTTCTCTCCGCATATAGAATGAAAAAACGTTCCGAAGAGTATTTAGTTATAATTTTGGCTGTAGAAAGAAAGCTTTGAGCGATTTTCTTGCCTCGAGTTCATCTCTGAAAACAGTAAACACCAGGAAGCCGGCTAAAAGCTTTAGGCTTAAGCGTAAAGACTCAGGATTTTTAGAGACGCTTTAATACTTGTCTTCGTGAATGAAAATCGTTGTCTCTGTAAATGTTTCACCGAATTACATTTCTTTTATTGATTGTTAGTAGTCTCTTGCAATTGCTTTGCTGTTTGTTCGTTACAGTCGTTTGTTCGTTACAGTCGTTACAGTCGTTCACAGACAACGCTTGCAGGAGTACTCAAAATGCGCCTTTGTACATCGTTATAAAACCATTAAATAAATAAAAAAATAAACAATAAATTCTTTATTATGTTGAAGCGTAACTCTTTTAATGTTCACTGAAAATTTGGCGCTTGTCAAAAGTGAAAACCGGCTGGCCGTATAGGTGATTTTGGAAATTTTTTGAACGGTTTTGCTAAAAGCCCACGCGTGCTTCGTACGGTTCTGAATATTGAATGAGTGCAATTTGTCTTGAAAAATTGTGAAATACTGCATTTTGTCTGAGGTCTGTATGATAAAAACAGCGTCTCATATTACTGTTTCACCTCAGATGTGATGCATAAAAAGTATGAAATGTTGGTTTACGGTCCGTGCACGCTTCGGCCAATCTAATTTTTCATTTTTCCAACAAAAACGGAAACAGGAAATATAACTTATCCTTGTCATATTTACATATTTAAAAGTACAGACAAAAATAGAAAAAAAGAAAATGGTCAGGAAAGTTGATCATTTTTCATTTTTCTAATTTTGAAGTCCGCTTCAAAAATACAAAAAATACGGTAAACGGCTAAAAGCGATATTTTGCTATTTTTTATTTTCTTGCTATTGTTAGAAAATGAGGAAAATGAAATAATGTCCGATTCCTAACTCATTTTTCTATTTTTCCGTTTTTCGCCAAAAATGGAAAAACAGAAAAATGAAAAAAATCATATTTATTCCCACCATTTTTTCATTTTTTCCATTTTGTTCAAAAAAATGAAAAAATAGAAAAATAGCATACCTATCGCCCAATTTTCCATAATTCCATTTTAATAAGAAAAATGAAAAAATGACAAGTGTATTTTTTTTATTTATTTAATAAATAGTAAAACTTTAAAACGATACACCCTTTCAGACATTTTTTCACTTTTTATTTTATTGAAAAATGGCGCAGAAAAGTGAGAAGTTATGAATATTTTAACGGTGAATAAGAGACTCGCTAATTTGGTTAGAAGATTTACCCAGGGTCGGCGGAGATGTGGGGGAATTTGGGGGGGGGAGGGCCTAGTTTTCGAGATGCGGACGTAGTTCCATTCACTTTTGATCTCGATTTCCCTGAAGGTTTGAGTTGTCAGGGGTCGACTGTGGATGAAAGCGGCGGGAAAACCGTACCGTACCGGCCGTGGAAATGAAGGATATTAGAAAGGGTACGAGGGGGGAGGAGAAGGCGTGAAAATTGGTACGGGAAAAGGGGGGGGGGGGTAACTCAACGGTTTTCATGCCAGCAACACTATGGTCCCAGCAAAAAAAAAGCGGTTCGTGAGAGAGATCAAGGGGAAGGAGTTAAGAAGAAGGTCGTTGAACAGTCACTTGCGCAAAATAAATAAAGAGCACGCCAGTGAAGAGGTTAGACGCTTTTAAATGAAATAGATGCTCAAAAGTAGACTGCTTAGCAGGTCGAAATAACTGATCTTGCCGCAGAACGGGTCTTTTAGGATTGCAAGAGTAAAGTATATTGAATTAATATTATGGAGGAGAAACATAACGAGGCGGCTAGTATACGCTCGCGGGAGAGAACATAATGATCTGGCCCCATACATTTGCTCATACATTTGTTTAAACGTTGGATAGCGACTATCCACCGGATAGGCCACTACCCAGCGGCCTGATAATTTTTTATGTAACTAATTTTAGGGAAACCAATTGCGTTATCTACTGGATAGTTATTTATTTAGCGGATAGCGTTATCCACCTTTTAAGCAACTCAGCCCTGGAAAGACGAGAGCAAAGATCGCTAATGTCGGGAAACCCATGCGACAAGTATGGGGAAACGTTCTACAGTTTGAATGGAACAGGAACACTTTATGGTGACGCAGTGTTAGAACAGGTCACAGAGTGAGTCCTAAGTAATGACGTAAAGGAATCAGCTAATCAAATCCAAAAGTGAATGAAACTACGTTCGCATTCTGAGAACTAAAGCACCCCCACCCGCCCTCCGCATCCCACGTCTCCCGCGAACCCTGTGTAAATCGTCTAACAAAACTAGGGAGTCTAAAGTGGATTAGGTTTTTCTTTTCTTTATTGGTAAATGTTCATGATTTATCACTTTTCTTTGCTATTTTTCATTAAAACAAAAGATGAAAAATTGTCCGTTTTTGTTTGTTTGTTTTCTATCCGTATTGCAAAAATGGAAAAATTATTCGCAACACTTGTCATT